CGTAACTTACGATTCCCTCTGTTAAGAACAAAAGCTTTGACTATTTTAATAATGACAAGAAAGAAAGCTGGCTTTTGCAAGCCGAAGCTTATACAACGGTTTAATGAAAATCGGATAACTTTATCATATAGCTCGCATAGGAAAGATCAAGAAATTTTTATATAAATAATGAAAAAAAAATTTTATCGTCGTGTTTCATCCCACGATTATGGTTTTTAGAACGTCGAATTTTTTAAATACCCTTTATTAAAAAAAAAAAAAAATATTTCATAAAAATCGGGCAATTATATCACATAGCTGCCATAGGAAAGATTGTAAAATCTAGATATAATTTATGGAAATAAAATTCCTACATCGTTTTTTTTATCGGACAATCATGATTTTTGGAAATTAGACTTTTTTAACGAATCTTGAATTTTGAATTAAATTTCATCAAAATCGGAAGACTATAGCATATAGTTGTCACATGAACAGTCGTCGAAAATATGGAAAATAAATAAAAAACAAGAAAGGAAGCTAACTTCGGCATACCCTTGCAGACGTCAAAGGGTATAACAAAATACATAAAGGCTAAAAAAACATCGAAGCTATGACAATTTTTCTAATTTTTATTAATTAATTTTCCATATTTTCGACTATTTGACATATGACAGCTATATGATATAGTCGTCCGATTTTAATGCAATTTAACAAGTAACGACTCGTTAGAAAACTCTGTATTCCAAAAATTATGCTTGTCTGATGAAAAACAACGATTTTACAACTTTAGTTCCGTTATTTCTATATAGATTTTTCGACCTTTCCTATGGCAGCTATATGATAACGATGTCCGATCTAAATGAAATTTTTTTCTCGATTCAACGGTTATTAAAAACTCCATATTTTAAAAATCATGCTCGTGGGAATAAAAACAACGATGTTCTAATTTTTTTTCCATTATTTATATACATATATATCTTTTGATCTTTCCTATGGGAGCTATATGTTAGAGTTATCCGATTTTGATCAAATTTAATCCGAAATTCAATGATAGTTAGCAAACTCCATCTAAAAGAAATAAAGTCGATCTGATGCAAAAACAACGGCGTGAGAATTTTTTATTTCATTCTCATGTGTGGGAGGCATTCGATATAGTCGGCCGATCCGGGCCGTTCCGACTTATATACTGAGTGCAATGACTACACAACTTTTGGGAAAGTTTCAGCAAGAAAGCTTTGAAACTGAGAGACTAGTTTGCGTAGAAACAGACAGTAGGACAGACGTTCAGACGTATTTCGATTCCAGATCGTGATGCTGATCAAGAATATATACCTACATATATGTATGTATGTACTTTATGGGGTGTGAGGTGTCTCCTTCACTGCGTTGCAAACTTCTGACTGAAATTATACTAGCATTTGCTCTGCAAGGGTATAATTATATGTATATTTGTTTATATGTATAATATAATTACTTGCGTAGTCTCACGGATCATCACCCGCCCAACCAACCGAGGGGCGTAGCCGTGTATCGTACGGCCGCGGCTCGCGGAAATTTGGACGCGATATTAAGTATAAGAGAAAGAAAAAATTAAAAAGCGATGCGAAAATAAAAGGAAAGAAGAAAAAATTTGTATTTTTAATTTCACGGCCTAATTCTGTGCTATTAGTATTAGTATTAATTACTTTAGGAGCTGCAGAGAGTCTGTAGTAGATACTATAGAAAACAGTCTATTTTAGTCAGAATAAAGTATTCTGAAAGCTCATGCAAGTTATAAATAGATCTACAATGATTTAAAACTAAAGTAACATAATTTCTAGTTAATCTACTTGGCACAGAGAAGTTTAGTCTACCCAATAAGTCAGGACTGTCAATTTCAATAATTCAATAGGGTTAAAAATTAGTGCAATACCAAGCAAGAACCAATCTATTGGAATATGAGAGTAGGAATAGGTTTGCATTCAATTTTAGGCGGCGTAGTGCAAAAAGTAAAAAGTTTTTTTGGACTGATTCTATACGATCAGCGTGTACTCCGTATTGAGGACTCCAAACTGGTGCCCCATTCTCAAGGATTGGCCGGACCAACGATATGAATAAAGTCTTAGTAACGTAAGGACCATCAAATTCCTTCGACCATCGTTTAATAAATCCAAGCACCAATATGAAGGGAAAATTTAAGTTTAGGGTCCAAGAGGACCTGCGCATCATAAGTCCGTGTTGGCATGGAGATATGACTGACCTACAATGATAGTGCAAGTGAGGAGTTATTGCTCGTCCAAATAGCTTTTTCCAAACACGGTGAAACTGACAAGTTTGTAGGGATAGGGTAAACAGCTTGAAGAAGGGGTTTACACATTGCATTAGCGCAGTGTTTAAGTACACACCCAGGATTCCCGTCAGGACCTGGGGAATAAACTGTTATAACACGTTGCAAATCCAAAAGTAGGGAGGTTTCGTTTAAAGTGGGACGAAATATTAGGTTCGACTTGGGTATGGCTCATAAATATTGCTCACTTGATTGAGACACTGTGGAGTAAGTCGTTTGAAAGAATTGGGGAAACAGTTCGGCTATTGTCTGATTAGTATTAGCCGTCATATTTTCAAACGAAAGCGAAGGCGGAACTTTAAAACTGAGGGACTAGTTTGCCTACACACAGCTGGATTTTTCATTTTAAACTAAACTTGTGTACTGCAGAGAATTTCTGTTGAGGAGCGGAAAAGTCTATTCAAAGAGTAATAAAAAAAATTATAGCCCGACTCACAGTAACTTTCAAAAGTCTCGTTCTAGTTGTCCGCCTATTCGGCTCAACTCAAGAACGACAACATAAGCAAAGCTCCAGGTCATGAATAGTTTTTTTTTTTTTTTATATATTCTTATAACACTGTATACGAAGATGCTGTCATAAAAAAGGCTGACTACCATAGCTACCATCGCCCGCAAAAAACTTAATTCTTCGGTCAATAGACAATAGCGACTAACCTTTGTTAACGAGTACATTTCCAAACACCAAGACTTCTGGAATAAAATATTATTTTCTGCCGAAAGTAAATTAAAAAATTATTCAGAAAATTTCAGAAACTCTCCAGCTTTTTAAGACCGTTACTCAGATAACACTGGTCAACAAAAAAAATAAAATCGTTTGTTTCCTTTAATTTTTTTTGCGTTTCTATCTCAAAATAAGGTGTATTTTTTAAATATGGTAACAATTTTTCTCTCACAGCTTTTGTTTTTGAGTTACAGCTAACTACCCTCCATTACTATTGATTAGTCGTGGGGTCCAGGATTAAGTACAGAAAAATTAAAAGCTGGTATTTTTGATGGGCCACAGATTAGGCAACTCATGAAAGATCCTAATTTTGTCAAATCAATGACTGAAGTCGAATCCAAAGCTTGGAAGTCATTCGATTTGGTTATGAGTAATTTCCTAGGCAAAAAGAAATCTGACACCCACGTCGAGCTTGTTGAGTCCATGCTATCGAACTTGCAAGAGTTAGGGTGCAACATGAGCATAAAAATCCACTTGCTGCACTCACATTTAGACCGATTTCCACAAAATCTAGAAGATTTTAGTGAGGAGCAGGGTGAAAGATTCCATCAGGAACTTCGAACAATGGAAGAGCGGTATCAGGGGCGGTGGGACTCACATATGATGGCAGACTACTGCTGGAGTTTGCAACGTGATCTACCTAAAGTCGTCCATTCAAGAAAATCGTATAAAAGATCATTTGATAGTGTTCAATAGAAATTTTGTTAACATCATTTATTAATTTTCTGTACTTTTTTATCAAAATAATAAAACTCTATATTTCAAAAACTGAAGCTGTTAGTAATCTTCCAGCATTTTTTTCATACTCAGGGCCATAAAAATACCCAATAACAGATAAAAAAATAAAGGAAACAAGACTTCTGTTGACCAGTGTAATCAACTTCCAAGATCCATTAAATACATTCGCTTCGGGACGGTGGATCCACCTGATATTAAACCCAAGGTTCCTACAAATAAAGGTTTTTTAATAAAACAACTACATCTTGGACCTTATTACACCATTTACACCTCGTAGGCTCAACACTTTAATTTACCTTTAAATATTTGGCGTATGTATATTATTTAAATATATATTCATATATATATTCATCTATATATATATATGTATATATATTTATACCCTTGAAGAGCAAAACGCAGTGAAGGAGACACCTCAGTATATATATTCTTGATCAGCATCACGATCAGAATCCAAATACGTCTGTCCGTCTGTCCGTTTCCGCGCAAGCTAGTCTCTCAGTTTTAAAGCTATCTTGCTGAAACTTTCCCAAAAGGTGTGTAGTTATTGCACGCAGTATATAAGTCGGAACGGGTCGGATCGGCCGACTATATCGGATAGCTCCCATACGAGGAAATGAAATAAAAAATTCTAACGCCGTTGTTTTTCATCAGATCGACTTGATTTCTTCCAGATGGCGTTTTCGAGCTGTTATTGAATTTCGGTTTAAATTTGATCAAAATCGGATAACTCTATCATATAGCTGCCATAGGACAGATCGAAAAATATATGTTGAATTAATGGAAATAAATTGATAACATCGTTGTTTTTTATCCCACGAGCATGATTTTTTGAATATCAAGTTTTTTAACAACCCTTAAATCGAGAAAAAGGTTCATAAAAAGCGGAGAACTATATCTTATAGCTGCATCACCATCTGAATCGAAATACGTCTTTACGTCTGTCCGTCTGAAATAATAATACCTTTTTGCTCTGCAAGGGTATAAATATAAATTTTATAGTAATCATATGTTAAAGTTCATATGAAATATTTTAAATAAAAACATTGTTATATCGTGTTTAAGCGTAAGCTGGAGAAGGCGAACACTGAAAATAAATTTAGTGTAATCCATCAAACGCTTTTAAAATTAGCAAGCTCTTTGACATTTATATTTTTCTAAAACAGAAGATTGTGTGACAAAAATGAAATCGTAGTCTGGCCTTCATTTCGATTTCACGGATAAACCGACCCTTTAATTCATTTTTCACAGTGCTAATTTTCAGTCGCTTTATAAACATAATTTTTAAAACTATCAGCTTCTAACCAGTTCATCATGAGAAACTTCAGTGTTGTTTTTATTCTGGGTAAGATTTCTTGACAATTCAAGAACGTATTTTTCAGATTTTCCCTTAGCTGTCTTCGCATTGGGAATCAACGGAAAATGCAGAGAAGGAGTAATTTTGATTAATAGGCCTGCTTGTGGAATAGCCGCAGATTGCTACTTGCATGGCTTTAACGGAGATGTTGTCAGAAATGAGGATTGCAAACGAAAAGAAAAAGGACTACCACGTAGGTACAACCAATTTTAAAATGAAATGAATATTAAATGTTTCACAATCCTTCAGCCGTATTGGAAATAAAAGGCGGAGAATGTCCTACAGATAAACCCCCGTGTAAATATATAAGGGACTAATTTTAAGCGGAAAGTGCATTGTAACATCCATTAAAAGAGCTTGAAGCGAAATTGTTTTTTCTTGGCCCTTCTTTTTTGGTTTTGCAACATTTGAATTTTTAATTGCAGTGCACATCGGCAACGAACATTCATTTATATGCATTTGTGTGTATATACAGGGTGCGCCATCTAGACAGGACCTAATGAAAAGTTGAATAACTCCTCCATTTTTTAGCCCATTTTGGAAAATAAACAAGATTCATGTAGGGTATAGAATGCCATTTATTGACAATTCACTCAGAATACAATATCGATCATTAGAAACACAAAAAGCGGCCCTTTTTTGGGCATTTAGCATTGTATTCGACAACATTTCGGGCGTAATAGCAGCAATTTCCGCTTTGATATTAGCTTTTAGTTCTTCAATAGTCTTCGGTTTGCTGACATACACCTTACTCTTCAAGTAGCCCCACAGAAAAAAGTCCGGTGCCGTCAAATCCGAATGTCTCCCATATTTCTTACGATAGGCACGCACAGTTTTCCCGATTTTTGGTTGAGTCGATCCATGTCTAAAATGGCATAGGCTGACGTTTCAGAATCTGGCTGGCTTGTCAAAATAGGCTGAAAAATGGCGGAGTTATTAAACATTTCAATAGGCCCTGTCTAGATGGCGCACCCTGTCGATTTTTGACAGTAAATAAAAACTTTATAGTAATCATATGTTTAAGTTCATATGTTCATGTTATCATATGAACCTTTAACATTAATATTGTTTTAAAAACTGACGATTGTGGGACAAACTTGTAATCATAATTTGGCTTTCATTTCGATTTCACGGATAAACAGACCCCTTAATTCATTTTTCACAGTACTAATTTTCAGCCGCTATAAAAACCTGACATCATTTTTAAAACTATTAGCTTCTTACCAATTCATCATGAGAAACCTCAGCTTTGTTTTTCTTCTGGGTAAGATTTCTTGACAACTCGAGAACTAATTTTACAGATTTTCATTTCAGCTGTCTTCGTATTGGAAACCAACGGAAAATGCAGCAATTATGTGCTTTTGAATTATTACCCTACTTGTGGAATAGCCGCAGATTGCTACTTTTATGGCGATAACTATTCTGTGGTCGACAATCAGAATTGCAGACGTAAAGAAAAAGGACTTCCACGTAGGTACAACTAATTTAAAAATGAATCTAATATTAGATGTTTCACAATCCTTTAGCCTTCTTGGAAACAAAAGACGGAGAATGCCCTACAGATAAACCCAGGTGTACATATATAAAGAACTAATTTCAAGCGAAAAGTACATTATAACATCCAATAAAAGAGCTTGAAGCTAAATTGTATTTTTTTGGCCCTTTCTAACTTGGTTTTGCAACATTTGAGTTTTCAATTGCAGTGAACATCGGCAACGAACATTTATTTGTATTGTAACGAACTGCTTTTTATGTCTCCGCTCGCTACGTAAACGTGCGGCTAGCTCAGTTGAGTTTGTGTGTTCGTCCCACCAAATTTATTGTTGCGTGACCCCGAGACCAAAGAAGAACGCAGAGTTAGGTTAGATTTAGAATATGTGTGCTGGGTTTATTGCTTGTAGATTTACAGCTTGATATTTGATTCGCGGCTCTGCTGTCTGACGACTCGATCTCCCTCGTTGACGCCGGTAATGGCTCCCGCGTCGACTCCTGCGGCGACACGCCTGTCGCGCGTCCTCTGCCTCGCCGAGTCTTTCGGGCACCGGTCGCGTACTAGGCTCGCTACGAGTCTCTCACAACTTGGCGGATATTGAGCGGAAAACCTTACTGGAGGGCTAAGCAGTGTTGCTGCAGTCAACACTTCACGCTCCACCCTGAAGTCGGTCGGGATTTCGTCGGCTGGGCCTCGGCAGGTCCTCACTCTCGTGTGGACCGACTCCGGGCACCTTTCGCATAACTCCCTCGGATTCTCGTCGGCTGGCCCTCAGCAGGTTCTCAATCTCTCATGCGAACCGACGCTGGGTACCTTTCGCACAACATCCACTGGATCTTCGTCAGCTGGCCCTCAGCAGGTTCTCAACCTCTCATGCGAACCGACGCTGGGTACCTTTCGCACAACATCCACTTACTCGGACTCCACCAATATCGTCGTTTTCGAGACTCGTAGACGCACCCAACAACTTACCTTGTACCCTCGGGATCTCAGCTTGGCAGTCTCAGCTTATGTAGACGTGACCGTCGTTGGGCTTCTCGACTCGGCGATCTTGATTCCGGATATCCTGGCACTTGTTGTTCACTTGGGCTTTATTCGCGTTGATACGGTCACTTGCACGACTTTCACTTGACTGTCCAGAAATGTGCGCGCTTTCTCCTTTTATACGCCATCCTGGTCCCGCAATTTCCCTTCCTTGGTGGCGTGATCGGATCCAAAGTGCAGGACCAGTCCCGTTAGTTCACGGTCATTCCTTTTTGTGCTGGTCCAAAGTCTGTGAACTTCACCGTTATACGGGTCCAAAGTTCAGGACTTCACCGTTATAACGGGTACAAAGTCCAGAATGGTACCGTTAGTTCACGGTCTCTCCTCTTTGCGCGGGTCCGAAGTCCGCAGACTCACCGTTATTGGGTCCAAAGTCTGCAGACTCACCGCAGCATTGAGTCCAAAGTCCTTTAAACCGTTATTTCCCTTTTTACCACCGCACACAGCGCATCCCGCTGTTGCCATGCAGCTCCCCTGCACTCAAAATTGTAAGGAGATTTACAACTCCTTACATCTCCCCCTTCCTTCGGAAACTTTTGAAAGCTTCGGGCTCCGGAATTTCCTGGGGAAAACGTCCTCGAATCGCCTCCTTCCCACGTCGACCTCCCACTCCTGAGTGCGGCCAAGGGCCTCTTGGATCTCAGCCGGACAGCCTCAGCCTATTGGACCCTACCTGGTCGTTCAGCATCTCGACTGTGGCATCTTGACCCCCATGGCTCCTTGCGCACACGTCCTTCCTTGATCCTTGTGGCCGCTGCCACTCCCTCGTCGACCTCCTCCCGCCACGACTGAGAGCTCCTCCAATTTCAGCACCTAAGTCTCAGCTTATGTAGACTTCCCGTCGTTGGGCTTCTTGACTAGGGCATCTTGACTGTCGAAAACTCCCAGCACGCGACTCCTTCCGATCCTCGTTCGAATCCGAACCGTTTCCCGCGTAGTATTTTCCCCGCGCACAATCGATAACTCATCTCGATCGATCGTGGCGTTGCCACTCCTCAGGGCTGCAGTCATAATCAGTGTGACCGGCCAGCGATATTTCCAGTATTTTCTTTGCTCTCATCGATCGCACTATCGATCGACCTCCGTTATCGTGGCGACCCCATTCCCAATTTCAGCTGGCCTCGTTTGTTTGTTTTGGTAAGTCAGAAAATTTTTAAATTTTGTCATGTCCTGCTTTTCGCGCGATTGTGTTGCCGGCTAATCAGCGTGATCCCAGGGGGGGGGTTGGAACAACCACAAATATCCCGCGCAGCAGACACGACAAAAAAAACAAAAAAGAATTTTTTTGAACTTGGACAACGAATTTGTACACAACGGAAATATAGGAATATCCAGACTGGACTACCTCGCCAAATTGGCAGCCCTCGGAGTCCCTCCCAACCATGAGTGCATCCTCGTTTAAGTTTCGGACACATCTCCCAATTATTGTTTTAATGGAAACATTTTATATCATCTCACCCCCCACTTGAGGAATCTATTCACCTAAGTTCATTTTTTTTTAAATTCATTATAAATTCACGTGTACTTAAATGCTAACATATTTTACACCTACCCACGTTACCGAAGGACTGAATACATGAAACATTAAGCAATAAATAATAAATAAATAGAGTGTAATAAATAATAAATAAAAAGAAAATTTGTCCTCTTTCTTTGGGTGTTGCTCCTCCTTCAACTTGTCCAAGAAAAATAGATCCGATGTCTTCTTCGGGATTGAATTTTTCATGAAAAATCTTATTAAATTTTGAAAATTTTATGCCTTCTTGATCACCTTGCGTAACCTCTTCAACAACCTGCACTTTTTCTTTTCTTTTCCTCTCTTCGCCCAAAAAAATACTTAAAATTTTCAAACTCCAACCTCGGTTCCTTTGGGAGTCATTCGGTTTAAGGAACCAGTTCCATAATGGACTCGGTTGTCCGACTCCCTGAACTCACGAGTCCATCGTCATCTGGGCCAATGTAAACAACTTGGTCGAGTTTGAAATTTGTGTAATTTAGCACATAACAAGCACACTACGGTTCCGATGCTTGTCTCGGAACAGGAGTGGAGGATGTGCGAGTGCGGCTGGTTGTACTACCCAACGTAGGCCACCGCCCACAACCCTGAGATTGAGGTTTGGTGAGTGTGATTTGCTAGCCGGGCACTATTATTGGAGGTCCTTTGACAAACACTTGGAACTCTCTTTTAGGACTTCTTTCCCGGCACCTGGTGCGACTTTTTGAAATGTTCTAGTCGAACTATAAACCCGTACACTGGCATCCTTTTGGGACTTCCTTCAAAGGTAACTTTCCATTTTCGAAATTTATTTACTTTTTTTCAACTTTCCTTCATCAGGCGCGGATCTTGTCCAGGATTACGGGCATTCGGTACTCTGTTTTGATTCGATGGGATCTGTTCTGGTGTCCTAGCTGCTTTCAACCATCCTTCCCAGCTTCGGTCGTTTTTCTGCTGATCAGCGGATGGCACTGGAGGTGGAAGATGATCTCCCCCAGGACGACTTGCTGGGGGTGGAACCCCAGAAAGTGGCTGTTCCTGATCTGGACCCGTATCTGAGCCTGGGTCGATGAACTGAGTCGATGCCAACCAAGCTGCGTTCTCGTTCATTATCTCCCGCCGCCACTCCGACATGCAGTCGTTTAGTCCTTCATAAACTGCATCATGTCCTGCCGCATCTGACGCCTAAATGCCTCATATTCCATGGACATCACAGCCTGGTAAGTTTGTTGTGCTTGGAACAGTGCTACATTAACTCCTGATTTTATTTCAGATGGCAGAGACTTCGGTATGGCCCCAGTTCCGCTTACAGATTGATGACCACTAGCTTCTCCTTTACTTTGTTCTTGGATTCCATGAGGAATATGGTCAGTTGTAAACTCCATGTCTGATAACTCGTCCTGAGATATCTTTTCTGGATTTCTTTCTTTTTTTTTAATTGGATTCGGATCGAGTTATTGGCGGACTCATATCCACTGGTTCCCTATTCCGAATGAATTCCAAACTTCTCCTTATTTTTCTTCCGATTTGAATTCTATCCCTATCACTATTTGACATATCCTAACTCCTTTCTTATGTATATCTGTCTATTTCTCTTTTTCTTCCACTTTGTCTAATATGGGGGGGATGAGACGTCACTATTTCCACTACTCACTAACTTTTCTCTCCTTTCCTTCAGTTCCTAATCCGTTGTGTACACTAAAAATTACTAGCAATAATTTAATTCATCTATTAATTACTTTAAATTTTTTTAGAATCCGTCTGCAATTTAACGGGCAACGATGTTACGACTGACGATGTTCCGCATAACCCGGACAGCCAAATTGGGTACGTGAACTTTTTACTTTACAAAAAAAATAACAACCTTAAAAGACAAACATTTACTTTACATTTTACCTTTACTACAAACAGATTTCGCCTCAACTCACTCTGGCTGCGCATGTGCCACTCTTTACTCGGCCATAGGTCCACTACTGATTGGAGATTTTTTTATCACTTCGGAAGAGTTTCGCAGGAAGAAATTCAGAAATGTCCCCTGTGGCTTCAAGGATCTCCACCCTGATGGTAGGCCCTCGGTCCAAACAGCTGGTTTCCGTTTCTGTTTCCTGTTTTCTTCGCTTCCGGTAAGTATCTGAATTTTCTTTTTGCCTTTAATCAATTCAATTAAACTTCTTTTTTTTTTTCAGTCTATACTTGCAACTGCTGGGCATCGATGCTACACCTCATAAACAGTGTACATGGACCACACCAATTACAAACACAGACAACAGATTTAGATAAGTTATTACAAATTTACTTTACTTTAGACAACATATTAAAAAGACAATTGTTTATTTTTTTCAGACACATTCTAGTCTGTCTTCCTTTCACCTCAAGGACTGGGCTCAGCAACAAGGACTTCCCAGAATTTTCCCCTCTGTGGCTACGATGGGTCTGGCCTACTTCGCCTGCCCACGGTCCAAATAGATGGTTTCTGAGATCTTATTTACTGGCCTTTACCCTGGTGAGTGTTTACTTTATACTTTTATTGATTCCATTTTATTAATTTTCTTCTATATTTTTTTAATTGGGCGCCATTTGTCATGTCCTGCTTTTCGCGCGGTTGTGTTGCCGGCTAATCAGCGTGATCCCAGGGGGGGAACAACCACAAATATCCCGCGCAGCAGGCACGACAAAAAAAACAAAACGGAATTTTTTTGAACTTGGACAACGAATTTGTACACAACGGAAATATAGGAATATCCTGACTGGACTACCTCGCCAAATTGGCAGCCCTCGGAGTCCCTCCCAACCATGAGTGCATCCTCGTTTAAGTTTCGGACACATCTCCCAATTGTTGTTTTAATGGAAACATTTTATATCATCTCACCCCCCACTTGAAGAATCTATTCACTTAAGTTCATTTTTATACCCTTGCAGAGCAAAAGGGTATTATAATTTCAGTCAGAAGTTTGCAACGCAGTGAAGGAGGCACCTCAGACCCCATAAAGTATATATATTCTTGATCAGCATCACGATTAGAGTCCAAATCCGTCTGTACGTCTGTCCGTCTGTCCTCCTGTCGGTTTCTATGTAAACTAGTCTCTCAGTTTTAAAGCTATCTCGCTGAAACTTTCGCAAAAGGTGTGCAGTTATTGCACGCAGTATATAAGTCGGAACGAGCCGGATCGGCCGACTATATCGGATAGCTCCCATACCAGAGAATGAAATAAAAAATTCTTACTCCGTTGTTTTTGATCAGATCGAATTGATTCGTTCCAGATGGCGTTTTCTAACTGCTATAGAATTTCGTATTAAATTTGATCAAAATCGGATAACTCTATCATATAGCTGCCATAGGAGAGATCAAAAAATATATATATAAATAATGAAAAAAAAATTATTATGTCGTTGTTTTTAATGCCACGAGCATGATTTTTGGAACATCAAGTTTTTAAATACTCTTAAATCGAGAAAAAAATTTCATAAAAATCTGAGTACTATATCATACCTGCCATAGGTATATAGCTGCCATAGGAAAGATCGAAAAATCTATATAGAAATAACGGAAATAAAATGATAACATCGTTGTTTTTCATCAGACAATCATGATTTTTGCAATATAGAGTTTTCTAATGAGTCTTGAGTTACAATTTAAATTTCATCAAAATCGGACGACTATATCATATAGCTGTCATATGAACAATTTGGAAAATTAAGGCAGGTTCTCACCTTGTAGGGCCGAAAAATGGACATTAAAAAAAAAATTATTTTGAGAAAACGGTTAAAGATAAAAAACTAAAATTTGGAAACATATTTATTTTGCGAAAAAAAATATCAAAATTGAAAAACCAAAAAAGGGGCGGGAGTGGGCGTTGCTCAGTTGCGGATTTTGAAAAAAAAATGTGTCCCGCTTACGGAAGTGATTCAGCCAAAACGGGTAATCGGAAACACAACAACCAAAAAGATTCTTCTTCTTCACTAAATATTTTCTCATTAGTTAAAGGAAACAATTAGGAACATTTGAAAAAAATTTGATGACGATTGGTTAACCCCAACGCCTTCAATTACTTCCGTAAGGTCCGAAAACGTGGTTCCGAGATAAACGCGTTTAAAGTTTTGGCTTCCAATGGCCGGTGCTCGACATGTGCTCCATGTAAGGGCCTGTAACTTTTGTAATATTTCAAATTTGGATCTGAAATTTTTTGAGAATATTTTCGGAACATATATCTATACGATAAGCCAAAAAAAAAAAATCAATTTTTTTTTGCCACAAGGTGAGAACCTGCCTTAATAGAAAAATTGTCATAGCTTCGATGTTGTTTAGCTTTTATGTATTTTGTCCGACAAATTTAGTGACTGCAAGGGTATATAAGCTTCGGCTTGCTGAAGCTAACTTCCTTTCTTGTTTTTTTAATTCATTATAAATTCACGTGTACTTAAATGCTAACATATTTTACACCTACCCACGGTACCGAAGGACTGAATACATGAAACATTAAGCAATAAATAATAAATAAATAGAGTGTAATAAATAATAAATAAATAAATATTGCATAAGAAATAATAAATAAGTACGGCGTATATCACATGTTAATATCAAGGTTTCAACTACTTCATTTACTTTACTTCTTTTTGGAATTAATTTTTGGACTGTTGGATTATTTCATTAATATTCACTTCATATTTTGTCTTTGATTTTAACTTAAATCTAATTTGTTTGTAATAAATAAATAGTTAAGCTAAACAAAAACCTGAGGGCCACCCAGCGATGAGTGGCCAAATTTTGTTTAAAAGAAAATTTGTCCTCTTTCTTTGGGTGTTGCTCCCCCTTCAACTTGTCCAAGAAAAATAGATCCGATGTCTTCTTCGGGATTGAATTTTTCATGAAAAATCTTATTAAATTTTGAAAATTTTATGCCTTCTTGATCACCTTGCGTAACCTCTTTAACAACCTGCACTTTTTCTTTTCTTTTCCTCTCTTCGCCCAAAAAAATACTTAAAATTTTCAAACTCCAACCTCGGTTCCTTTGGGAGTCATTCGGTTTAAGGAACCAGTTCCATAATGGACTCGGTTGTCCGACTCCCTGAACTCACGAGTCCATCGTCATCTGGGCCAATGTAAACAACTTGGTCGAGTTTGAAATTTGTGTAATTTAGCACATAACAAGCACACTACGGTTCCGATGCTTGTCTCGGAACAGGAGTGGAGGATGTGCGAGTGCGGCTGGTTGTACTACCCAACGTAGGCCACCGCCCACAACCCTGAGATTGAGGTTTGGTGAGTGTGATTTGCTAGCCGGGCACTATTATTGGAGGTCCTTTGACAAACACTTGGAACTCTCTTTTAGGACTTCTTTCCCGGCACCTGGTGCGACTTTTTGAAATGTTCTAGTCGAACTATAAACCCGTACACTGGCATCCTTTTGGGACTTCCTTCAAAGGTAACTTTCCATTTTCGAAATTTATTTACTTTTTTTCAACTTTCCTTCATCAGGCGCGGATCTTGTCCAGGATTACGGGCATTCGGTACTCTGTTTTGATTCGATGGGATCTGTTCTGGTGTCCTAGCTGCTTTCAACTATCCTTCCCAGCTTCGGTCGTTTTTCTGCTGATCAGCGGATGGCACTGGAGGTGGAAGATGATCTCCCCCAGGACGACTTGCTGGGGGTGGAACCCCAGAAAGTGGCTGTTCCTGATCTGGACCCGTATCTGAGCCTGGGTCGATGAACTGAGTCGATGCCAACCAAGCTGCGTTCTCGTTCATTATCTCCCGCCGCCACTCCGACATGCAGTCGTTTAGTCCTTCATAAACTGCATCATGTCCTGCCGCATCTGACGCCTAAATGCCTCATATTCCATGGACATCACAGCCTGGTAAGTTTGTTGTGCTTGGAACAGTGCTACATTAACTCCTGATTTTATTTCAGATGGCAGAGACTTCGGTATGGCCCCAGTTCCGCTTACAGATTGATGACCACTAGCTTCTCCTTTACTTTGTTCTTGGATTCCATGAGGAATATGGTCAGTTGTAAACTCCGTGTCTGATAACTCGTCCTGAGATATCTTTTCTGGATTTCTTTCTTTTTTTTTTAATTGGATTCGGATCGAGTTATTGGCGGACTCATATCCACTGGTTCCCTATTCCGAATGAATTCCAAACTTCTCCTTATTTTTCTTCCGATTTGAATTCTATCCCTATCACTATTTGACATATCCTAACTCCTTTCTTATGTATATCTGTCTATTTCTCTTTTTCTTCCACTTTGTCTAATATGGGGGGATGAGACGTCACTATTTCCACTACTCACTAACTTTTCTCTCCTTTCCTTCAGTTCCTAATCCGTTGTGTACACTAAAAATTACTAGCAATAATTTAATTCATCTATTAATTACTTTAAATTTTTTTAGAATCCGTCTGCAATTTAACGGGCAACGATGTTACGACTGACGATGTTCCGCATAACCCGGACAGCCAAATTGGGTACGTGAACTTTTTACTTTACAAAAAAAATAACAACCTTAAAAGACAAACATTTACTTTACATTTTACCTTTACTACAAACAGATTTCGCCTCAACTCACTCTGGCTGCGCATGTGCCACTCTTTACTCGGCCATAGGTCCACTACTGATTGGAGATTTTTTTATCACTTCGGAAGAGTTTCGCAGGAAGAAATTCAGAAATGTCCCCTGTGGCTTCAAGGATCTCCACCCTGATGGTAGGCCCTCGGTCCAAACAGCTGGTTTCCGTTTCTGTTTCCTGTTTTCTTCGCTTCCGGTAAGTATCTGAATTTTCTTTTTGCCTTTAATCAATTCAATTAAACTTCTTTTTTTTCAGTCTATACTTGCAACTGCTGGGCATCGATGCTACACCTCATAAACAGTGTACATGGACCACACCAATTACAAACACAGACAACAGATTTAGATAAGTTATTACAAATTTACTTTACTTTAGACAACATATTAAAAAGACAATTGTTTATTTTTTTCAGACACATTCTAGTCTGTCTTCCTTTCACCTCAAGGACTGGGCTCAGCAACAAGGACTTCCCAGAATTTTCCCCACTGTGGCTACGATGGGTCTGGCCTACTTCGCCTGCCCACGGTTCAAATAGATGGTTTCTGAGATCTTATTTACTGGCCTTTACCCTGGTGAGTGTTTACTTTATACTTTTATTGATTCCATTTTATTAATTTTCTTCTATATTTTTTTAATTGGGCGCCATTTGTCATGTCCTGCTTTTCGCGCGGTTGTGTTGCCGGCTAATCAGCGTGATCCCAGGGGGGGAACAACCACAAATATCCCGCGCAGCAGGCACGACAAAAAAAAACAAAACGGAATTTTTTTGAACTTGGACAACGAATTTGTACACAACGGAAATATAGGAATATCCTGACTGGACTACCTCGCCAAATTGGCAGCCCTCGGAGACCCTCCCAACCATGAGTGCATCCTCGTTTAAGTTTCGGACACATCTCCCAATTATTGTTTTAATGGAAACATTTTATATCATCTCACCCCCACTTGAAGAATCTATTCACTTAAGTTCATTTGTATACCCTTGCAGAGCAAAAGGGTATTATATTTTCAGTCAGAAGTTTGCAACGCAGTGAAGGAGGCACCTCAGACCACATAAAGTATATATATTCTTGATCAGCATCACGATTAGAGTCCAAATCCGTCTGTACGTCTGTCCGTCTGTCTGTCTGTCCGTCTGTCCTCCTGTCGGTTTCTATGTAAACTAGTCTCTCAATTTTAAAGCTATCTCGCTGAAACTTTCGCAAAAGGTGTGCAGTTATTGCACGCAGTATATAAGTCGGAACGAGCCGGATCGGCCGACTATATCGGATAGCTCCCATACAAGAGAATGAAATAAAAAATTCTTACTCCGTTGTTTTTGATCAGATCGAATTGATTCGTTCCAGATGGCGTTTTCTAACTGCTATAGAATTTCGTATTAAATTTGATCAAAATCGGATAACT